AGTCGGGGTTAAATCTCTTTCATTGGCTTTAGGCCAATGTCTCTCACACAGGAAATGACACTTAACAGCTACTGCTACTGCTGCTGTTGTTGGAGATCAACATAGACCATTCTGTTGAGCAGTGTCCTGCTCCTTGCTTTGTTCTGTTAAAATAATTTTATTTTCAGGCTTGTGGGGCCCGTTCAGATTGAGTAACTTGCTTGCTCGTGAGGGCACAACGTATGCTAAACCAAGGAGAATGTCCCACAGGCGAGGACTGGGATGCTCTGCTGAGGTCAGGCGTTTTATAGTAGGTGTACCTGTTCGTCTAAGTTCCGGTTGGCTGCAGCTGTTGCCAGGCTGATTCTGTTTTAAGCAAAATTGGAAAGTCAATATGAACTGGTTATACTAGACTGCTTTCTTTAGAAAAACAAAATTCTCTGTCCTGATTCATCTTCATTTTGCTATTTCAAAACCATGTAGTTGTGGTATGAATATGTAACTTTGTGTTAAATTTAATAAAAATGTTATGAAAGTGGAATGTTCATTTATAGATGATTCTTGGATATTGTCTAAGAATAAAGGAGGGAATCTGTGCCTCAAAGGAGAACTGCATATTGATGAAATCGTCTTCTGCTGTGGGATTGGTGCTCCCTACAAATCGGTGATTTTGGCCTTGGTTTAATTTTGACGAATCTTTATAGGATATTTAATTAAGTGATATTTCGTGGGCTTGAGATGGATCGGGCTGTGGAACAGCAGATAATCGCTCCGTAATCCTGCCCAGTGCAGACCTTGCTTCAGCAGGGGGAGTTTCAGAGAGCACGATGTGGGGGCGGGGGCCACCCGTGGTGAGGTGAGGGGCCTTGCCAAGCCTGCTTCCTCAGTCTCCTCCTCCAGCATTCCAGATGAGTCAAGACAAGCTCTGGCATGGCGAAGAGGAAACACCACCTCTGCCAACCTCCTGTGAGACTGCTTCTATTTTGGCCGATTCCATACTCCCTAGATCCACGGAAGATATATTTGAGAAAGAAAAGAAAAGAAAAGATGCCTTAGCCAACCTTGGGAAAGAGGACAGAAACAGTGAGCATAGCAGTTGCTGGAAGTTTGGTGCTGCAGACGGCGCAATCTGCCATCCCATTTGTTGATCTCGCATGCCATGCTTCAGTTGGCACCGCTGCTGCCAGGAACCACCCCCTCCTTTTTCCATCTGAAGGCAGGGAAGAGGGATTGTGACAGTGTTAACTCTTCCTGCCCTACAGCCTGGAGTGTCTCCTTCCCCACTTTAGGCTTAACAATCTGAGCCACGTTAGGGCCTACAGAAATATTAGAACCAAAGAATTTTAGAAGCAGAAGGGGCCTGAAGGAACTTTTAGAAAAAGAAAAGCAGCACTTAGTCTTCCCAGATTGGACCACATGTGACAGTGGGTAATTTAAATTTTGAAGAATAATGCTCACTAAGGAAATCTGCTTTTACCTACAGCCAGGAATCTGGTCTAAATACTCCTGGCAAATCAGCATGGCTAGGTGGAGGTGGTGCAGGCCTACACGGCCTGCCGAGTTAGACCAAGACAAGCGAGCCCAAGTAGGTGGAGGTGCAGCCGTAAGGCCTAGGAAGAAGACGGCCAGCCAGCATCCTCAGAGGATGGCAGTGACACTGTAGGAGGTAAATTGACTAGTCCTGGTAATGATTTAGGGAGCAGAGTGCAACTATTTATTACATTTCTTAAGAAATCATTCAAAATCACTCATAACATCTTCCCTGTCTTGATTAATGTGCTTTTGTGGAAATGGGAAAAGCGTGCAATCCAGGGATCATGATGAAGTTCAAAAATTGTTAGCATAAGTGCTGTCAGTGTACGAGGGAGGTTGCTATCTGGATTGTAAAAGAGATTGTGAATAGCTTTGTTCGGATTAAAGAAATGGAAGTTACCATTTTTAGTGAATTAGCTAATTTGTATATATTAATATAAATGCTTAGAACAGTGCCCAAAGTACTGTGTTATTGTGTTGGTTGCTGCTACTACTACTACTGCTGCTATTATTATTGTTATGATTTTCAGAATCAGAACTTGTGTCGTATAGTGTATTTAATCAGAAAACATGTATCAAAGTTTACATAAAAATTTTGCTCAGAGTCCTCAGCTTAAAAAATATAAAATGGAATTTCCCTTTAAGGAGCTTAATTCTTGGAAATACCCCTGTTGTGATTGCAAAACTGCTTTTCTGCTTTTCTACTGGGTCTGGCCAGGGTGGAAGAGAAGCTACCAAGTCAGTGCTCTCCTTCCAGAGCCCAGGGAAGGGCCTTTGCCATGTAACCTCTGGTTTTATGTGAAGTGGGATTTGAATATTATAATCAAATTGTGTGCTAGTTTTTAGATATAAGGCCCACAGAATTCAGCTTCTTTAGGCAACAATCAGATGATCAAAGAATGAGAAGATGACCCCAGGCCCATGAAGGAGATTGCCCCACATACTCTCAGGACTCCTCTCCCCCTGCCAGCCCACTCTCCTCCCTCCAGACATAGGCACATTTCCCAGAGTTGAACTCAGATCCCTTTGTGATAACCCTGCTGTTCCCTCCACTGTTCACTGAACATCCTCTTTAAACCCTTCTAAGACTATTGGGTCTGTCCACAGAGTTTAATGCTATTTATTAGTCAGCAATTTGTGCTTTGCCTCTTTTATCTCATGAAATCTCACAGTCCAATAGTTTCCCCATTTTGCACATGAGTTAATGGAGGCACAGAGAAGCAAGTACACTGACCTGTGTGAGCCCAGCCCACCTGGCTCCGAACCTGGAATTCATAACGCCCTTAGGTGTCTAGCTTCTTGCTTAGCCATTTTAGTCTTTGCTTTCCCCACACATAAGTTAGCCTTGTCTTCGCAAATAGATTATAAATGCTTCAGAGCACTGTATCTCATGCCTGTTTGTGTGTGTCCCCCCAACCCCCAGTGTTAAGAAATTATCTGAGGCCTAATATTCCATTTCCCCAGGTGGAGCCTGGAGCAGGTTCTCCTAATTGGATGGCTGCAATGATTGGTTGACTGCTGTGAGTTGAAATGCTTCCAAAAATGAACTCTCTCCTGGACTGGCTCCAGTTTTTGCCATAATGTTAGGCTCCGTCCTTTCTTAATGTTTGGCAAATGGTTCCCAGCTACGTAAGTGGCAGCCTCTCTTCTCTGTCAGTGAGTGTTAGGGAAAACCTTTTTTTTTTTTTGGCAAGAACAAGCAGGATCAAGTTGGTATTGGCAGAGGTCCTAGGGCAAATCCAGAAGTTGCCCTTTGTCTTTGATCCTCTGCTGTCCTTTGCACCGCCCAATACCCTGTACAGGGGGCCCCTGGCGGCCCACCTGGACCTGCACTCCTTGATGAAAGTGGGCCCAGCCCTCTGCCCTTTGCCCCCCTTCCTTGAGGCTGCTGCTAACTATTAATCTGATAAACAAAGGTAGGTTTATGGTAATCCCTCTGGGTACATACTTGCATTTTAAAAGGAGATAATTCTTTAACTGTTCTGCTATTAGGCAGGGCTATGCAGGAGATAAACTAAGTGACACCCTGTATGGGAAGCAGGGTTTGGTGTAGAAAAGATTCCAGGGTCCGAGTAATCCTGGGTTCAAATTCTGACTCTACCCCTCACCAGCTATGTGACCTGGCCAGCTTCTCCAAGCCCCAGTTTCTTGTCTGTAAAATGGCACAGTGTCTGGCACAATAAATATTAGCACTCAGGCCAGTTATAGCCCCTCAGTGAGTAGTCCCTTGAAGTCTCCTCCCCCCAGGTGGCCTCCTTCACCACCCACAGGGAGATTAATCTTGACTTACAAGTCCCTGCATTGCTGTCAAACTAAAAACATAGTGATTTTTGTATCTTATTTAATTTTAACATGTTCTCAGCTTGGGATTTTTTAAAAACATTTTAAAATTGTGAAATATAGCTGTATACAGAGAAGTGCATAAAATACATATGTACAACTTAGCAAATAATTATGAAAGCATCTGGGCTTGGTGGCTCACACCTGTGTTCCTAGCACTCTGGGAGGCCAAGGCTGGAGGATCCCTTGAGCCCAGGAGTACGAGACTGGCCTGAGCAAGAGTGAGACCCCGTCTCTACTAAAAATAGAAAAATTAGCTGGGCGTCCTGGCCTGTGCCTGTAGTCCCAGCTACTTGGGAGGCTGAAGCAGAAGGATTGCTTAAGCCCAGGAGTTTGAGGTTCCTGTGAGCTAGGATGATGCCTCTTCACTTTACCGGGGGCAAAAGAGCGAGACACTTTCTCAAAAAGAAAAAAAAAGTATCACTCATGTAACCACCACCCTGTTCAAGAATTGGCAGGCAGTGCTTTAAAGTGGTGTCTGTATGTAACGCAGTGGTTCTCAACTGAGGGCGATTTTGTTCCCAGGAGACATTTAGACATTTTCGGTTGTTGCATCTGGAGAGGTGCTACCGGCATCAGTAGGTAGAGGCCAGGGATGCTGCTAAACACCCTACAGTGCACAGGACAGCACCCCACAACAAAGCATTATCTGGCCCAAATGTCAATAGTGCCAAAATTATGAAACCTTCTGTAACACGATCCACTGTTCAGAAAACGCCTGATTTTCAGAAATACAATGAATGCTTCAGCAGGAGATGAATGTTGAGGAAAAGATTTGGACACTCGAGAAACCTGTCGTTGTCAAAACTTAGGTTTACACGACGTATTTTTAATAATGCTATCCCACTCGACTAATTGTTCTCAGAAGGGAAAAAGAAAAAAAGCCAGCCAGAATTTCAGACGAGGGACCTGAAATTAATAGACCTCGCGGACAGCATCAATCAGTCTCTATGCTTTCATTGCCGCCAAGTGCTTTTAATCTCTGTCAATTTGCACCAATCTTGGGAATCAGATACTGTACGAGCGAGAAGCCAGACGTGTTCCATTTTACCATTAATTAAACAGCAAATAAATTAAATGCTGTACTCTTTCCAACAACTTGTTCCAGCCCCTTTGCACTTGTAACTCTTTGTCTTCATTTATTACAGGATTTAGTCATTCGTATTGTTTTTATTCTTGGCAACCTGACAGCGAAAAACAACCAGGCTCGGGAACAATTTTCCAAAGAGAAAGGGAGCATCCAAACTGTGCTGTCATTGTTCCACACGTTCCACCAAGTCGATCTGCATTCCCAGAAGCAAGCCTGCGAAGGCGCAGAGCTGCCCCAGGCGCAGAGGCCACCGTCGGAGGCGGAGGACGTGCTCATCAAGCTGACCCGCCTGCTGGCCAACATGGCCATTCACCCGGGCGTCGGCCAGGCCTTGGCTGCCAGCCGGCCAGCAGTGGGCCTGCTCCTGACCACGCTGGGTGAGAACTGGGGCTGCTGGCTGCAGCTGGGGCTTCCGCAGCTCCAAGACAGTTCTGTGGTTGGGGTGTGGTGAGGATTTCATTAGTACAAGGGGCTGACTTGGAAGTTTTCCTAGCTGTGTGAAGGAAAATTCCTCTTCTGTTCAGAACTGCCTTAAAAGTAATCCAGATTAGAGAGAGAGAGAGAGAAAGAAAAAGAAAACATAGTAATATAGATTATTACTAAAACCCACTAAATTATATACTTTAAAAGGGGAAATATTATGGTTTGCGAATTATATTGCAATTTTAAAAAATTACATTGATCAAATGAAAAAAAATTGGCTAAACTAACCATAAAGAGTTTAAGATCCCAAATTTTTCCTGGGGCAATCCACATGATTAGAGTTAATTTCTTTTTTTTCCTTCAGGTTCTCGTATTATCTGTAATTACAGACCCCAGTCATTCAGTTCTTATCTCTCCCCTTGTCTTAGTCTACCGGGCTGCCATAGCAGAATGCACAGACTGGGCAACTTAAACAATGGAAATGTATTTCTGATACTTCTGGAGGCTGGGAAGTTGAAGATCAAGGTGCCAGCCAATTCAGTTCCTGGCTTGCAGACAGCCACCTGCTCTCTGTGTGCTCAGGTGGCCTTTCCTTGGTGTAAGCACTTGGGGGTGGTGGACAGTCCCTCTCCCTCTCCCTCCTCTCCCTCTCTCTCTCTCTCTCTCTCTTCCTCTTCTTATAAGGTCACCAGTCCTGTAGGATTAGGACCCCACCCTTGCGAGCTCATTTAACTCTATGCCTCTTAGAAGCCCTACCTTCAAATACAATCATATTGGGAGTAGGGCTTCAACACGGGGATTTTAGGGGGACACCATTCAGTCCATAGCACCCTTTGCTACTTTTTGGGCCTGTCATTTCTCACGGGCACCTCTGCCTGCTGGTGCTTAGGGAATTAACTGCAATCCAGGGCGATCAATTTAGCCACTACTAACTAGACTTGTGAAGATTTTATTGTTGTGAAAGAAAGTTTAATGCCTGACAAAAATGATGTTTTAGAGGAATCTGTGAAGCCCCCACCCCACCCCCTTAGTCAATTTGAGAACCATTGATCAAGTCCTATCAGCAGAATCAGCCCTGTGCTATGTGTTGCAAGTTTGTTTTAGTCTGCTCAGACTGCCATAACAAAATGCCATAAATTTGGTGGCTTAAACAACAGAAATTTATTTTCTTACAGTTCTGGAGACCAGAAGTCCAAGGTCAAGTTGCCAGCAGGGTCAGTATCTGGAAAGGGCTCTCCTCGTGGCTTGTAGATGGCCACCTTTCACTTGCCCTCTCGTGGTGAAGAGGGCGTGCTCTGGGTCTCTTCCTCTATCGGATCAGGGCCGCGCCCGATGACTCATTTAACCTTTATCACCCCTCACACCTACCTCCAAATACAGTCGCACTCGGGGGAGGGCTTTAACATATGAATTTGGGGGAGACACAGACATTCAGTCTATAGCAAGGTTCTGGAAATACAGGCAGGTATCTGTTTCAATGGATGTCAGGGGCACAGACAAGACCCACACAGCTGTGGGAAGTGCCAGAAGCAAGGTGCACATGGGCCTGAGGGCTGAGGGGCAGAGCAGCCGCGCCCAGCTGTGGGTGTGTAAGTGACAATGCCTCGCTTTATCACAGAGCTTTATAGTTTAAAGGGGTGTTTTTGTATTTATCACCTCACAACAATGTGTGGGGAAGTTCTTATTATTTTCAGCATCTTAGGATAAACAGGCTCAGTGAGATATATTAACTTTCCTAGGTCCCTAAGTTAGTAAAGTGGCAGTCACCGAGTCCCAAACCTGTGCCCCTCTGCTCTATTCGTCACTTGTTGTTGCCTGTCTCGAAAAAGGATTCTTAAATTCTGACCAAGATTTGCCCTGATGACTTATCACTTCCGTGTCATAATTCAGAAATCTACGCATTTAGTCGTGAACTCCTTTCCAAGCTGCTGACTGCACATCAAACCATGTGGGAGAACATGCATCCAGCTATTGCAGAAATTCAGTTTCTGGTTGGGTGCGGTGGCTCACGCCTGTAATCCTAGCACTTTGGGAGGCCAAGGTGGGAGGATCACTTAAGCTCAGGAGTTCGAGACCTGCCTGAGCAACATAGTGAGACCCCCGTCTCTACCAAAAAATAGAAAAATTAGCCAGGCGTGGTGGCTCGCACCTGTAGTCCCAGCTACTCGGGAGGCTGAGGCAAGAGGATCCCTTGAGCCCAGGAGTTTGAGGTTGCAGTGAACTATGATCATGCCACTGCCCTCATGCCTGTGCAATAAAGCAAGACCCTGTCTCTAAAAAAGAAAGGAAGGAAAGAAAGAAAATCAGTTTCGTAACAATCTCAAAAATTTCAGCATTTGAATTATAACATTTCCCTATCCGCTGAGGCTCCTTCCCCTTGTGGAAGACCAGCTCTTCTGGGGGGCCAGGTTACGACTGCTTCACGGGCAGCTGTGGGACTCATTCAAATACCCAGAAACTGATTCTCTAAAATTCCATTAAAGTCTTGAAATCTGCCTTTTAACTCTTTCTCTGCCCCAGGCAAGTCTCCTGCCCCTTAAATGTTGAGACCCAGTGCTTCAGGAAACCACTGGGAGTCTCTCTGGCTCCTGAGGAAGTAGAGAAGCCTGAAGAACACTGGGTTCATCTCGTGCAGGCTCCATCCCTTTACCTGACTGCAGCCACCTGGGAAGGGCCTGAGGACCAGACCTCAAACACCTGGGTTGGGGACGCATGATTGTGAACAGCCAAGTGAAGGAGTTTATGTATGATTTGTTTTCCTACCATTGTTGATATTCACGTATAAAGTGGGAAAATTCTGGTTTTATATATATTTTACCAGCTTAGAAATTACATTTCTACCCATAAACTAAGGTAAAATGAACAACTTGCTTTTGACTCTAAAGAAGGTGATGCTTTGGGGCAGGAGAAAGAGGCTGGGAAGCAGATTTGACCCAAGAGGGTCAAGCCAGGTCTAGCCCGGGTCCCCAGGCCCATCTGCTCCATGCCTCCCTCACCAGGTGTTCTGCCTTCGTCATGTGGGGGATGCCCAGATGAGTCTTCCCAGTGTGCCCCCAGAGGTCACTGGAACTCAGGAATAGCCTGCTTTTCTTTTTTTGCTCTTGGGTGACAAATGAAACTAATCAGGTGGTTCTCCAATGTCCTTGCACGTAAGACCCACACGGGGGGCTTGTTAAAGGCAGAGATTCTCGGCCCTACCCTCAGAGGCTGTGATTCATCAAGTTAGGTGTGGGGCCCAGGGATCTGCATTTTAAAATGCTCCCTGGCTGGTCCTGATGCAGGTGGTTGAGGGCCTCCTTTTGAGAAATGCCTTATTTTCTGCAGAGTTAGAGCTCAGTGCTATGTGAGGTTGAGCAAAAGTGAGAAACCTTGCTCTTCGGTGATTGGTCAGGGCCTCTAGCCTACCATGCCTTGGGCAGCTTGTGCAAGCAGGTGACCCCTTGTCTGTTCCATCTCCCGAAAGATTTTATCTTCAAATAAAAGCTTATAGGAGGGCAAAAGTCACTCTTGACAGAGGGTCATCCACCTCCACCTTCCCCGTACACAGCCCAACTGCTGGGGGAGTTTCTGAGCCCTCCCAAGCCCTCTCATACTGGTCCCTGTTGTTTCCCACGTGCTTTATCTGCATCAGTGTGGACTGGTGAGCAGATTCCAGGAGAAGGCTGCTGTCCCTCTGACCGGCCAAGCAGCTTAGGGCAAGCCAAGGGCAGCAGCAGGCTGTGACTATGAACCTTGCAGGGGCCCACCCACCGGTCTGCTTGTGCCCACTGAGGTCAGAGCAGCTGCCACCCTGTTTATCCTCAGAGCTGAGCACTCCTCCCAGCCTGATGGCTCTTGCTGCATGGCACTGTCCCCCAGTCACATGGGAAAGGCATCCTTTGGGGTCATTTTTTTTCCACCTCCCTCATCCCTGTATCCTTCACAGAGAAGTTGCCTGTACCCCAGGACTTGCCTAGAGAAGACAGTCTCATTGCAGAGGGTCTTTTAAAAATCAAAAATGTTTCTGGTAAGAACCAGCAGCTCTCTCAGTCAGCCCCTAGTCTCGGAGATTTGCTGACCTAGTGGCAAGCTCCAAATTCCAGATTCTGTTATATCCACAAGTCAGTTATGGAGGGTGGTGTGGTTTTCTCATGCTTTGTGGAGGCAGATTTATTGCCCCAACCAGCTCTGATGGGAACTCAGTAATGCTGAGTTCTTGGCCTGAGCAAGGTGGTATGGAAAGAGTAGGACAGTAGGGTCAGGCAGACCTGGATCCTGATGTCTGCTCTGTGAAGTCAGGCAAGGTATTTAACTTCTCTAAGCCTCAGTGTTCTCATCTGACCCCCCTAAATCCATCTGTTGAAATCCTAACCCTTAATGTGATGGCATTTGGGGATGGAGCCTTTGGGAGATAATTAGGCTCAGATGAGGTCATGATGTGGGGCCCTCATGACGGGATCAGTGCCCTTAGAAGAAGAGTTCTCCATCTTTCTCTGCCTTGTGACAACCCAGGGAGAAGTCAGCCATCTATGAGCAGGAAGAGACCCTCACCAGAACCTGAGCATGCTGGCATACTGATCTGGGACTTCCAGCCTCTGCAGCCGTGAGAAAATTAATTTCTGTTGGTTCAAGCTACCCAGTTTATGGTATTTTGTTATGGCAGCCGTAGGTGACTGAGACAGATGCACCTTTTGAGAATAATTATTGTGGGTTTAAATGCTTGTAAGTGCACTTAAAGCATTATTAATAATTAACTTTCATGGGGTTAAATGCATGTCAAGTGCTTGGTGCTCTTCATGATAGGTGCTTAGTAGCTGTGAGCGCCCACCCTCTTGCCCCAGATGCCATTCCTGCTGCCCAAGCATGCGGTCCTACAGGAAGTGGGGACACATCAGAGCTACTCTGCATTTTCCCAGCGAGCTAATGAATTTTTCTACAAAGACAAGAGAAAAAACAGATCCCCAAACATTGCCCCAGTCTGGGATGGAGGGAACCAGTGCTGTGGGCCTCTCCTTGCCCAAGAGTTAGACATTCACGTGAGTGGCTTCCCAAGAGCTTTCATTCCCAATGGCCCGTCTATTATTTTAACAAACATTTACTTAGCACCCACTATGCACTCTTTTAAGCCCTTAATGAATATTAAATCATTTAAACTCTGTAACAACAACTCTACAATGTAGGTGCAATTATCACCCCCACTTGACAGTCAAGGATCCTGAGGTCTAGGGAGGTTGAAGGACACAGTCGCATGGCCAGTGAGTAGAAGCACCAGGATTTGGCTCCAGAGTCATGGCCAAAGAAAAGGGGAATACTTTTGGGGATCCTGTGTTCCTTCTTTTATCTTGTCTCCCTCAAAAATAATTGGGATTCTTTCATAGATTCCCTAGAAAACTGAGTCCACTAGGGTATTATTACCTTGCTGTAGAATCCATACCAAAGTCCAAGATAATTAAGCTCCTATTCCCTTCCTGGAACTTACACTAAAAAGCTGGCAGTTGGGGCCTCATTTATTACTCTCTCCAAGCAGTCACTGAGTGTCTACCACGCGCTGCCCTGTGCTGGCTGCTGTGGGTGGACGGCCCACTGGCTGAAGGGCCAGTGTATGTCTGTAGCTGAACCAATGACTGAGTTTTCCTTTGAGTGTAGTAAGTTATAAAAAGGCTGTTTAATGAAAAGGAAAAGAAGGCCAAAAGATACGATAATTAAGTCAGAGAATTTAAGAGCTGGCACCATCCCCTCACTCAGCTCATAGCCTCCCTGCTTGTTCCCTGAGAACCTTTGATTTCATACAATAGGTAACAGGCACTTCTTGTCCAGTACAACACAGCAGGCATGTCATGGGCCAAGGTGTGCGCGGGCGCTGGGGACCCCCCCCAGGCGTCCAGAGCGGGTGCTGGCCAGGTGCAGGTGGCAGTCGCAATCCGGCACTGGGTAGACATGTGCAGGGCATGAGGCGAGTGGCAGAGGCCATTCAAGTTGCTGTGACTAGTTCAGTATCACCAGGCTCATGACTCTTCCTCTGATCCGAAGACCATTGTATCCAACTGCCTGCCCTGCCTCTCCTGTGGGTGCTTCATAAGCACCTCAGATCAAAAGCTGAACTCGTGACCTCCTGGCCAGCTTTCCCTCTTCCTTAATTCAGGGAATGTGGTCAACATCTACTCAGTTATGTGAGCCAGAAACCTAGGGCCCAGCTAGCTGGCTCCTCTCCCTCACCCCTCAGTCAGCCTCTACCCGGGACAGTCTGTCCACTCCGCTCCATCTCTACCCACCCCCGTGTAAGCTCTGTTGCTGCTTCTGGAATACTCCCGGCTGCATGCCTGCATCTGCTCTTCTCTGCACTGCGACCAGAGCATCAGGGGATGAGTCTGGAGACTGGCCAGGAGGCAGGGACAGGATCACTAAGGGTCTGATGTGCTAAGCTAAAGGGTTCATTCACTCATTTGTTCATTCATTCTTGCATTCAGCACGTAGTTATTGAGCACCCACTATGTGCCAGACACTGTTCTAGGTGCTGGGAACACAGCCATGAATAAAACAGGCAAATCCCTAGTCCTCATGGAGCTAACGTTTTCCCATAGAACATCAGGTAGTCGTATGTACTCTGGGGAAAATTAAAGCAGGGGACGGGGAAAAGAGAATAACAGATGCTATTGTACAGAGGGTGGTACTACAGGGTGGTTGAGGAAAGTATGTCCAACAAGGTGGCATCTAAGCGGCAGCTCGAAGGACTCGAGGAGAGAGCCAAGTGGGCCACTGGAAGAAGAGTGCGTTCCAGACCGAGGGATTCACAGTGCAAAGGTTCTCCAGCAGGGTCATGCTGATGTGCTCACGAAAGCCAGGAGGCTGGTGCGATGTCTCACTCCTATAATCCCAGCACTCCTATAAGCCCAGGAAGCTGGGCTGGGAGGATCGCTTGAGCCCAGTGGTTTGAGGCAGCAGTGAGCCAAGATCACGCCACTGCACTCCAACCTGGGCGACAGAGCAAGACCCTGTTCCCCACTGCCCCCCTAAAAAGCCAGCAACAGGCATTGGCACTGTGGCTGGAGGCCACAGGTAAGGCCTGGGGCGGCCCAGGTGGGGCCTGTGGGCCAAGCGAGGCGGAGCCATTGGTGGGTTGTAAGCTGAGTGCCATGACCTGACTAGCTTTTAAAGGCTCTCTGTGTTGAGAATAGACTTAGGGAGGCAAAAATGGAAGAAGAGAAGTCAGTAGGGGGTGGTAGTGAGGAGGTGAGAAGGGATCAGAGCCTGGGTGTTTGGAAGGCAGGCTGATAGTCACAGATGGATCATTCTGCCAGGAGGTGTGGGTGTGGGAACAGAGTGCAGATGCAGCTGGTGGCGCCCCTGGGAGAGCCTGAGGACAGGGCAAACTGGAAGGATTAGAGGCAGCTCCACTCCTTGGGGTATCGGCCCCTTCGCTTTACTTCCCACACAGATCAGCCTGACTTTTCCAGACCCCCCGGCAGCAAGGATTGACCTTGGAGTGTCCTTCCTGCCCTGGCCAGAGTGGTCCCTTGCACTTGGTACACTTCCCTGCAGGAAGAGTCAGGGAGAAGAAAGCGGCAAACGGAGCCTCCAGTGCCTTTGCACAGACCTTGCCTGGGACAGCTGCTCATCCCTGGTGGTGCTGTTGCTGCAGTTACGTCATTGGTTCTACACCTGCATTGAGTCTTTGATCCCCTTATCTGCACTATGTTTCAGAATACAAGTCACTCGATGATTGTGAGGAGCTGGTGATCAATACTACAGCCACAATCAACAATTTATCTTACTACCGAGTGAAGAATTCTGTAATTCAAGACAAAAAGCTGTATATTGCTGAATGTAAGTTTCAGAGTTGGGTTTGGATAAATGCATGCTCATTTAAGGTTTTAATTTTACTAACTAAATACAGAACTGGAGGCATTAATATATTCTGATTTCTGGTGCAAATATCTTAGAACCTGATCAGATTTTAAGAAATTAGAACGTGGGGTAATTAGACTATGGAAAAATTAGTTTCTTAGTTCTTGTTCAAGTTCCTTACAGTTTGTATTTTATTATTGTTTTTAATTTTTAAATCATCAGTATTTAGTATGGTATTGGTTTCCATTAGCCTTAAATTAAAACTTAAATTCACTAATTTTATTTCTTTGGTGGTCACCAAATCCAGTGCTCTTAAAGCTGCTCGTGAGTAACAACATGGATGGAGTCCTGGAGGCCGTGCGCGTCTTTGGAAATCTCTCCCAGGACCGTGACATCTGTGATTTCATTGTGCAGAACAATGGTGAGTTAATGACACTTAAATTCATAAATGTGCACTTCTTGGCAATAATCACCTAAGTGCTTTTGGAGCTTGGGTCATTACCATGTTATACTTATTTCTGCTTTGAGACATGTAGAGTTTTATGTTGCATTCTGTACATAAGGCTGCTGGCTCAGGGTGCCAAGATAGACCTCGGCAGTGTTCCCCTGTCCCTTGTGAATGGCCTCTGCAGAGATGGTGTGTGTGTGTGTGTGTGTGTGTGTGTGTTTAATGGAAACAAATAATCTGCACTTATCATTTCTGCCCATGGGAATGGACTCAAGAGACATTCTCTTTCATGTACTACAATGTCCATTACATTTTGCTTGTAATAGCAAAAAGTGAAAACAATCTAAATGTCCATCTACAGGCAAGTGGATAAATACATTATGGAATATTCACGCAACAAAATGTTCTACATCATTTAAAATAAATAAACTAGACATCCACGTATCCACATGGGTCAACCTCAAACACAATAACATAGGTGCAAAAAAGCTAGCAATAGGAGGATATATACAGAAGAATGCCACAAATGAGTTTTAAAATACGCAAAGCTATCTTGAATATTGCTTATGCATATGTATTCATGTAGTAATGGTATAAAGCATAAATAGTATTTAGAAATGATAAACTCCACACTTAAGATAGAGTTTACCTATGGAGGGAAAGGGATGTCTAAAAACATAAAATTGGATCTGTAATGTTTTTTATGCATATGTATTCATGTAGTAATGGTATAAAGCATAAATAGTATTTAGAAATGATAAACTCCACACTTAAGATAGAGTTTACCTTTGGAGGG